ACTGCGACTGCTACTGCTACTGCTACTGCTACTGCTACTGCTACTGCTACTGCTACCGCTACGGCTACTGCTACTGCTACTGCTACTGCTACTGCTACTGCTACTGCTACTGCTACTGCTACTGCTACGGCTACGACGACCACTACTATTACCGCGAGAGCCACCATCACCAAAGACCACTGCCGCCAGTTTCGCGACCACCTTTCAAACTGCCACTGCCTCTGCCACCACCAGTCCCTATCACTGCAACTACCACCGCTACTTGCTCCCGCCTCTGCTACCACCAGTCACCCTCCGGAATACTGGCATCATGAGGGCGGTGAGGACAATCCTTATCAGTGTTCTGCAGCCCTTTGGCACAAGTCTGATAGCGTTATGTAACCACGACGATCCGGACGAAGATCCGAAGACCAGGATTCCAGAAGTCTGTCCTCCAAGCGCTGGAGCTTCGAGTGTCCCGGGTGCATGTCCTCCCACCAGCTTGTGCCCCACGTCGGGAAGTAGCTCTTGAGATTCCAACTGCGCATTGTGGCCAAGACATGGGCCAGACACGGGTACAACGACAAAGCGTCCTGGAAAGGAACAGGGTACATGTCACCGCCGCCGGGCACCCGCTTCTCCTTCAGGACTCGGAAAAGATCGCTCGAAAGTTGGGAGGCTTCTTCAGGAGAAAGCTCCGGTTTTTCTCTTCGCGGCACCTCGGCCTCCTTCAGCTGCTGGAGCCTCAAGGTCCGCTTCGCCTCCCTCTCCGGGTTGGGCAACTCCATGAGCTTCAGCCTCATGGTCGAAGCAGATCTGCAGGACCCCTGCGCTTAAGGCTCACACTGACACCCAAGGAGGCCACCAGCGGATCTTTCGGTCCAGCATCTTCTTCTTCATGTACCTCGCTTCCCCCAGCTTCCCTCTCTCTCTGGCGTGCATTCACGGCAAGTCAAACCGGGTTCCCGACATCTCTTGCAACCTCTGAGCCTCCGCGTGTGTCAGGTCCTGCCATCGTGGCCCAGTACCACCTGCAGAGGCCGGCACATACCGCACGGAGACGGGATCGCGACTTTCCAGGTTAGTGAAGCTATTGCAAAGCTTAGCGAAGCTATTGCAAAGCTTGGATGTTCCTTTAGCAGCGGACTAAACAAAAGAGAGAAACCATCACGCAGAAAATGACACACCCAAGACTACCAAGAACCCTTGCAAGGCCCGGCAAGTGCCTGAGGGATATGTCGCACCACGAAGGCTTTCGTAGTGAAGCCAGGGTTTGGTCCGTGAGCTCTGTTGAAAGTCTGCCTGCACACATTCCGACGGCTCTGGCACCTGTTCGTGCATGTCTTCCACCACTTCGAACCTTCCAAAACTCCCCACTCAGAGTCCCCTGCCCACCTCGTCCATCTCGGAGCTGGCACTTCGCGCTGCAGCCTCCGCCACAGCCTGGTCTTGCTGCTGAAGCTTTGTACACAGCCGCCCACCNNCCCCCCAAAAAAAAAAAAAAACAAAGCAAAAAACAACGCCCGAGGTGCCATCGACGGACGTCGGTTGGGCCGCAGTCGCACCTCCGGGCTTCGAGCTTCCAACGTGACCAAGCTTTGAGCCCAAAGCGAGAGTCCAAAGATGTCCGAAGCCTCCGAGCCTTGGGGTCGAAGAGCGTGCTGTCCGCCTCAGAACCTTCTCGCCCACAGCGGCCGATCTCTGCGAGCTCCTGCGCGCAAAAACTCGCGCAGCAACCAAACAGTCACCCAAGACACTGCGAGACAACACTGGTGTGTGACTCCTTGGCGAGATGCTGCTCATTGATGTTCTGGAAAAAGTTTCTGCAACACCAACCACGTGAATGCGGGCTTGCATGGCTCCGAAGCTCTCCCGGTCACCGACCCCGCTTCCTTATGCTTCAGCCTCGTCGAGAAGCCCCGGGCACCGCGCCGGAGGAGATTGGCCAGGTGACGGGAAGCCATGTTCCAGGGCGAAGGCACGCACTCTCTTGCATGCAAGGGCAGGCTCTGCACACTTGGACTTGTGACTTGGAAGTGGGACGCACCTGTGTGCTTGAGCACATGGCATGATCTCTGTGCTCCGCTCATGTGACATGCCGCAGGACTCATTCTACACTGCAGCAGGCAGCCTCCAACAATCTCCAGCCAAGCACTTTCACACAAGCGCATCATAGAGAGAACAACTAATCTGGCAAGCCGCACTGGGATGCATCTCGATCATGGCTCACGACTTTTGCAGAGCCTTTAAGGTCTGGGAAATCAGTGCATCGCGCATGGCATATACCTCCGTTCAAGCTCTTGCGGGTCAAGTTGTTGTCGCCAATCGTCGAAAGACTGACTCCTGCGGTGATACCTCGGATATGGCTGTCTTTGTTGCCAACTCGCGGACATGTGCTCTTCTCGAAAGGCTGCCTGAATCTAGGCACATCTGAACACTATCGTTCATAAAGACAAGAGACCACCACCAGGGCAAAGCCTTCTCTCATCGTTCTTCTTCGAGACCTGTCGCTACGACAAACGCATGGCATCGAGCGGTCATCAACGGCTTTGGGAAGGGTTCTGCCAGCGCTCTGGATGAACAGAGGATCGTCAGAACATTGGGCTCAGAATGTGCCAGCAGCATACATTTAACCTGCTCACTGTAATCCTGCCATCGTTCTTTTGATTGCGACGGAAAATGATTGGCCAGCAAGTGCTTCTTGCAACCGAAGTCAAACAGCGTCTGCGGAGGATGGTCGTTCCAGAACAACCAAATCAAGTCACATTTGCACTAGACACTAGACACGAGTGTTCTGTGGGCCCCACAGCGCCAACCATTTACGACAACATCTGTGGCATGCTACCAATGTGTTCTGCGCCATGCCGCTGAAAACACACGCAGCAAGTCCACGAATGCCAGCAGCTCTGCTCTTCGTGGTTCCAACCGCTCCAGGCCATCAAAATGCAAACGCAAAGCAGGCGGCTGTTTGCAACATGTGATGTCAAACTTTCGGCATAGTCACGATCGCCTTCACAGGGTCTTGACCTCCAAAAAAGAACTATGCAAGTCGATTACGTGCGCTTACCTCTGATCCTGTGCCAATAAAAACTCACGCAAAACATAAACTTCATATACCAGTACACTGTCGACAAACATGCTCGGACGACCCTTGTTTAGCGTTTTGACTTTGATCCAGAAAGCTGGGGGGAGCATTTCCACCGCTGCGAGTTTGGTCTTGATTTGTCTTGATATTCATACTGCAGGCTATTGCTACATGCTGGTCCAAGCCATACACCCTCTCAATATCCAACTCCGTCCAAAACTTCATTTGCTCGATGTCAGAACTTGCTTGAGCTTCTATTGCTGTGGGAAGAGGGACCAAAGCAGGGCTCGGATGTTCCATGGGATGCATGAAGTCATGCGTGCCCAGGCCACAGACGAGGGCAGCTGCTTGATTGTGCCACAGATGCCCCACCTGGGGTTTCCACGGCAGAGCCAACACTGCCCTTGCAGTGATGGTAGGCCAGGGCGGGGCCTGAGGTCTCCTTGTGGGAGGGCGGCTACGCAGCATCTTCCACGAGCGAGCCGTTAACTTCTCGACCTGCTCACCGATGCCCCCCCCTTGCAAATCCAGACGCTCTTGCTCAGCTTACTCCGTGCCCAATGAGTCGGACACAAGGCAACAGACAGGTTCCAGCCGCACCCGCGTTTTAAAGCGAACCCTTATGACCTCACGTTTCTGAGCTTCTTATTTCAGGAGTGCAGGTGAGCGGTGCCTGAGCGAGACCATGTGCAAAACCAAAAACCTGGACGGCCAGGTAGCTCATGGCCCTGGCCCACTATAGAAGCTCTCCGTGGTCCTGAAGGGCGAGTGAAAAAGCTGCAGAAGCGGGTGGAGAAATTGAGAAGAAGAAGCGCAAGGACAACTCGGAATAGAAAATAGCGGAGAGGAGGCGATCGCAGCTGGAGTGTTAACTCCAACCTATCAAAGCTGAAAGAAGACGCATCTGGAAACCTTGTGACTGTTGCCATTTTTCGATGCGATTGTGCCGAAACTCAGGGAATATGCTTCTTCTGCAGCCAAAACCTGTGACAGTTGCCACTTTTGTGC